TTCCGATCTATATAGGATGTTTCATATAGGATGTTTCAAAAATATAAAAACTTCCGACTCACATTTACAACGTAGAAGCAAAACATCCTCTTCAAAAAGGAGTTCTGCTGGGTTGAATGCTTTGGTAGGAACTGCTGCAGCTAGAGAAAATGCTCAATTCGAACGGATAATGGCAATAAAAGAACACGAACGCCATGAAGAAGCGATAAAGGAATCACAAGAAAGGATTAATATTCCAGACATTCCAGAGGCACAAGTTGATAAAAAGAACAGGCGATTGGGTTAATTCAATTATTCCACCCGAAAACACTTTACCTAGCATGAAAGATCAAACCTTACTGTATCTAGCAGTTACTAAATAACAAAACAAAACTTGCTAAAATGACATCCGGACGTATTTGACGGTGATGCAGCAGCACTGAAAATCACATTTGCAACGTAGCAGCAAAACACCCTCTTCAAAAAGGAGTTCTGCTAGGTTGAATCCATGGAAATCCATGGAAAGGAGCTTTTAACTATGATTAAGAAGCATATGTCACCGCGGAACAAGGGATCAACTACTTACAGAGTTTTACCTGTGGGGAAGTCCAACACGTTGTCGACAACTTCCGGAGCACCAATATGACGCTTCATACTTCAATGAGGGTGACCACACAAGCTTGAGCTTCAAGAATTCGCAAACCTCTGCAGACGTGAACAGTCAAATCAAGCACTTGGCTTGTTTGAATTATCCTGGAGGTATCCGGCCAATTGTCGAGAAGCATTCCTAAGAGCGAAGTAAGAGAAGGAGGTTGTCACGCAAGCAAAGATCAAAAATCATCTGAACATTCTTGTCGGAAGCTTCCAAAAAGAAGAAGACCAAAGAACTCTGTTGTAAGAACAGGAAGGAAAGCTCTCGAGACCCAACTCCATCAATAGTAAAAAGAACTGGTGCCCATATCACAATTGCGACCGTGTTGGTCAAGTGGAGAACAAAATCTTTTGGTGAAAAGACGGATTGGATACAGAAAGCCGGATTGTGCTTTCGCTGCCCATCGGAAGGGCACCAGGCCAACAACTGCCGAGCTAAGATTAGTTGCACTATATGTGGGGAAGAAAGACTCATTTCTCTTTCATATAAGGAAAGCAAAGATAATGGAAAAACTACGTAACCCAAAAGCGAGAAAGATATGAGCCCTGAGCAAGTGCAAAATAAATGCATAGCCGTATGCGGGGACAATAGAGGCGAGGTCTCCTGTAGCAAGATCTTGTTTGTGGACGTTATCGATCTAGCTAAATCAAATCTAACCTTCCGAATGTATGCAATCATAGACAACCAAAGTAACAGCTCTCTTATTAGCGTTGAGGTAGCAGATAAGCTCTAAAGGACTACCTGTCAACCTGCAGCAGTAACAGGAAAACCAAATTTGGTCGAAGAGTTTCCGGGTTTGTCATTAGATGAGCTTCGAATGGCAAAGAAGCATATCTACCAACGGTAACAGAATGTGACGACTTCCGAGACGACGATAAAGAGATACCGAGTTCAGAGGTAGCAATGAGATTTCCTCAGTAGATGAGAACGCCAGTGAGCACATTTTCTCGGGTCCAGATGCGCCTGAACTGCTGAAGGTTAGAGCCTTTAGAAGTGGATCAAAAGGGTGCTCCCTGGGCACAAGAACTGTTATTGGGTTGGACCATCGCAGGTCAACTGTTTTGAATTTCTTAAACGGACGTAGCCATATTAAAGCAGACATAACAAACGTCATGTCGGAAGGAAGCAACGAGCAGAAGTCGCATATGTTCTATTTGGCAACCTGGGAAATTAATTGCGTTGGAGTTCGACGTCATCCCATACCCAGACAGGAAATGAAAGAACATAACCTGTTATACTCAACCCCGCTTCACAAGTCATCCTTTCCTTTGAAGACCGAAAGTCATCGAAGTCATCCTTTCCTTTGAAGACCGAAAGTATCTTGAAATAATGGAGAAACACATCCACAAAAACAAAACCGATCATGTGGGAGGTGGCTCTGCCGTTTCGCCAAAGTGACACAGTCATGCGAAACGACCGCTCTCAAGCTTTCTATCAGCTTGTTTCACAGGGTCTCACCTCCATGCACCACGTCCCCGCCCAAACAACTTCTGCGGCAAGACCCTGTTCGGGTCTGGCCATGTGACATCCCTGATTTTGGGATGTAGTGTAATTTGTCGTCTGGGTGGATACGTGAGGCAGAATTATTAGTTATTGAGTATAGTGGGGAGTATTAAGTTGAAAATCAAACAAACGTTCAAGTTTTTTGGTGAATGTGTCAACGGACTCGATAATGTTTCTAAAAATTATGGAACTGGTCAATTTATGTTATATTTGGCAGTTACAAATACCTTTCAATTTCTAACCTGCGAACGAGCATACTCTGCCCTAAGAGATTATGGAATCATTACGACCTGCGCAAGAGGTAGGCCAAATACTAAGCCCTATAGTATATATTTGAAAATAACCCAACACTCCGAAAAAACGTTATGTATATCACGGATTCACGGCATTTATACTCTTGTAGTCAGTTGTTTCTTTCTAAAGATCGGTGATCGCGATCATAATATAAAATAAACCGCGCACTTCAATCGTTCACCGTATAGCACAGTTCAGATGTATTTGTCAAAACTAAATGATATGTTTTAGTGTACATGCTACCAAGCTATAAACTGTCAACTTTTCACCTAATTGAAAATATACCAATCAAGTGCGTATTAAGCCTGTGAAAATATTCGGAGTGGGCATTGCATGTTGGTTTTATTCCGAAATTCAGATTATCTATTTATTTATTTTTATTTATTTACAACCCTTGTGAAATCTGGCATGTTAGTCCCACAGACCTGCATGCATGGCTGCTCCAAAATACAGTTTGTTTACAAATTAGTGAATCACTGACAACACATTTTTACAGAAATGACACTTTACACATATTGTAACGGTTGTTTATAACCGGTCAATTTCATAAATGTTTTCTGGACGATGTTGGTAATAAGTATATATAGATGGGATTTGAATTGTCCAGTAGAGGTATTAAGGTTTAGGTTAGCGTAGAGATTATATCGTATATATTTCATAGATATCTTATATACACTAGATAGCGCATCTCTTTTAGTAAAATTGCAGCCAAGAATATTCCAGCGGTTACCCCCATTTGAATAGATGGCGGCCATGTTGAAGTTTCCCACTCGCTAATAAACGCTTAAAAAACAACAATAACTTTCATCATTTGAATAGTTCGAAAATGTATTTGGAATAGGTTTAACTTAATGTTTAAGTTCCCTGTTTAAGAAATAGAAAACATACGAGTCTTCTCAATTCATGGGAATATCCTGAGTCTGCAATCACGGCTTCAATTTTTGAATTGCAGAATAATTAGATGCACTATCTAGTTGTATATAAGATATCTATGATATATTTACATTACTATTTATTATTATTTATCATTATTATTTATTATTATTATTATTTATTATCATTGTTATTATTTATTATTATAATAATTATAATTATGAGCTGAACATATCATATATTCACGTTCACTGATCCAACCAATCAGATTTTAGAGTTTTACGAGAACGAATTTGCATAACTGAATATAAGCCTTTTCGTCCTTAGATGCAGGTCAACTAATATGTCTTATTTGAAAAGGGGGAGCTTTTTCCATCTCCAGGTGGTTCAAATATGCTAATTTGCTGGCATGGCGATTTTGGCCGCCCACTAAATCATCCAAAGAGATACCTTTTGATATATTTTGCATGCATTAACGAAATAACTTGAATAACCTAATTGATATTAACACAGTCAGTATACTAGGATATGATATCTTAAGGCGCGATAGAAATCGATACGGTGGAGGGGTTGCAATTTATATACGAGATAACCTCGTTTATGTCAACCGGAATGATTTAATTCCTGAAAACTTAGAAGCAATCAGTTGTATCGAGATCAAAAAGCCTAGAATAAAGGTTACTTCCTGGTAATTGGTTACTTCCTGGTAATGTGCGCCGGACTTTAATGACTATTTTGAAATATTCTTACTTAAAGCCGAGCAGGAAAACAACTGAAGATATAATTATAACAGGAGATCTTAACTGCAATTTATTTTCTGCCGAAGAGAATACACAAACAAAGAAACTTAAACATATAGTGCACATGTATGAACTAAGTCAACATCTCACCACACCAACGAGAATAACCAGCAATTCGCAGTCCTTGATTGACATCAACAAAAGTTGATGATACTAAAACCTCTGACTCCGGTGTTATTCATGTAGGGATTAGCGATCACAGCCCTGTATATATTTGCCGTAAAATTGGCATCATGAAAGAAAACCCAAAATTAGTTGAAACTAGACAATTTAAACATGATTTAAGTAATGCATTTATAGTGCCTTTCGTAACTTTAATGACGTAAATTATGCATGGAGACTTGGAAAAAAATCTTTTTGGACATTGCTAATCAGCATGCTCCATTGAGACATAAAAGGGTTAAAAGTGAATATATTCCATGGATGATCAACGAGATTAGGAGGCAATGTCATCACCGAGATTATTTAAAAAAGAAAGCGGTTATAGACTGAACTCACCTTACTATTTCCAGGCTTATATTTATAAGTTATAAGCAAAGCAAAAACAAATTGAATAGGTGTACAAAAGAAACAAAGAGGCTCTACTATACAGGAAATCTAAGGCAACAACGATTAATGAGATCAATGTTAATGGGGGTAAAATTGTAGGCGACAAGAATATTGCTGACGAATTTAAGTTTTCAGAAAGAAATAGGGAAAAAACTTGCAAGTGAAATTCCGCAAAATTATATGGATCCTCTAGATCTTGTAATTACAGTGTCAAACTCATTTACCTTTAAATCAATACCAAAAGAGGACTTATGTCATGCCATTTCGTGCATGAAAGCAAATAGATCAGCAGGCATCGATAAAATTTCAGTTAGACTTATACATGGAGCTGGAAGTACTAATCTTAGAGAACCTGCACTATATATTCAATTTGTCGATAAACACTGGTATATTCTCAGATGACTGGAAAATTACTAGAGCTACGCCAATTTATAAATCTGATGAAAAAGCAGAATGTGGTAATTACAGACCTATTTCTGTTATATCAAATGTAGCTAAAATATTTGAAAAACTGATTTATAAACAGCTGCTTTCTTTTCTGAATGAAAACGAAGTACTTGCCGAGAAAGATTCAGTCTGGCTTTCGTTCGAATCACTCAACTGAAACTACGCTATTACATTCAACAAATAATTGGCTAGCCAACATGGATAAAGTTTTGACTGATTAATGGCGTAGTATTCCTAGATCTTAAAAAAGCATTTGACACAGTCGATCATAGTATACTTTTACTTAAACTTGAACGTTGTGGGGTCCGAGGTACAGCTCTGCAATGGTTTCAATCTTATTTATATGAAAGAAAACAAATTTGCAGAATAAATAATACTGTGTCAGGTGAAACAGAAATAGGCTGTGGTGTTCCGCAGGGCTCGAACCTGGATCCTTTATTATTTCTGATATATATCAACGACCTTCCGAATTGTTTACAGACAACTACGGCTTCTATGTTTGCAGATGACACAAATTTATCTTGCACAGGGCGAACATCTGCAGACATAGAGTATAGAATAAACAAAGACCTAGATAATATCCGGAAGTGGATAATAAGTAATGAATTAACTTTAAATACAGTATTGGAAAAACTGAGTACATGATTATCGGATCGAAACCTAGGTTAGACGCAATTTCTGAAACCCCCAAAATAATATATGGCGATTATCAGCTGAAGTGAATTAAGAAAAAAAAACACAATAATGAACAATGCAAAACAATATCAAAAGGTATAGCCCTTTTACGTAATGCCAAAGATTTTGTTTCACAAGAAGTGTTAGTCACAATGTACAATTCATTGGTGCTACCATACTTTAATTATTGCTCAACCGTTTGGCATGACAACAACACTCAACAGTTCTCACAATAATTTATTCAAATTACAAAAGAGAGCTGCACGTGTAATCACCAGTTCAGACTATAGTAGGCTATTAGATCTGTCCAAATTTTTGAAACCCTTCAATGGCAACCAATCAAAACAATACTTAAAGTTTTAAATGGCATGGTACCAATAATTTAAAAATGAGTCTGCCTAAGCCAAAAACAGATTTCCTAAGAAAGAGTTTCGTTTATCGTGGAG